AAAGAAACGAATGAAGTAAGAAGCCTTTGGTCACACAAATACTATATATTTGGAACTTTTTAAATGCAAAAAAAAACAATACGAAGAGTTTGGTCGCATAGACACTAAATGTATGTAATTCTCCTAAACACTTTGCATAACTTGGATGAAAATTGCAACTGTAAAAAATGGCAATTAAATTAGTTTCAAACATATTTTGTAATTTGGTCACACATACACCGTAAGTTTTAAATTATTTAAATACAGACATTTAATAGTTCTTTTAATGTATGAAAATCACACTTGTCAAATATACCAAATAATACAATAATAAGAATATTTCATGATATCTTTCTTATATTGCAAAAATAAACTAAGTACGGAGTATGTTTTGGTCACACAGACAACAAGTGTCTGTAATTTATCGTAAGCAGAAACTTATTATCTGTAAAATCTAAATAGAAAATTACATCTGTCAAATATACCGAATAATGCTATCATAAAGATTGTTTCACAATTACTCTAGATTGTAAAAAAGAAAAAAAATTGTAATTACCACTGTTTAGTTACACAAATACTAAAAATCTATAATTCTTGATACATAGACATTTATTATTTGGGTAATTTAGATGAAAATTTCACCCTTCATGTAACACCCTAATCGGTCCAGGTTTGCAGCCCCTTTCGGACTAAAGTATTTAACTTGGTAATCGTAAAATTTAAAACTTTTCAAACACACTTTATTAATCTCAATAATATTTTTCATAACATATACAGTACGGAGTATTTAACAATATTGCGGAAGCGAACTTAATATTGACATATCATAAATCATTTCAAACTTGTCACATCCATCCCGACAATCTCGCCCCATCTGCCGTCAGGATCACATTAATCTTTCTGTTTACCTGCGTGTAGCAAATAAAACAAACACACTACACGCTCAGCGGTAAAGCTGAGTAAGCATATCTAATGTGTTGAACATCCATATAAACTGAATCTAAATTCATAATCAAATCTTTTGATATCATGCACACAATGTTCGTTTCAGACATTCAGAGTTTTGATATTATTCAGTTCATATCAACACATTTTATTCAATTCAGATACTATTTCAATAGTGCTCTTAAATTATTCTTAATCTAAGGCCAGATCATAACAACGCTCTTAG